GATGGCACAGCACTGTCATCAGCCACAGCTTTTTAGCACCGTCATTGATGCGTTGGTGAACCAGCTCACTGCTTAAACCATAAGCCATAAACACGCTTCGTTTTTATGTGCGATGCAGCGGTGCCTTTCCACAAAGCTTACCTCATCTTATGTGCTTTGAATCATCAAGTGTGGCATTTCAAACTGCAGCCTGGACCCTTCATTCATGACCATCATTATCGCACTCCCAAATTGATATGTGTAGCCATCACTAGATCGTAACTGCAATTTGCCTTGCCATATTTTATTTAAGCAAGAATTATTATTATCATGTCTGCGATTAAGCATATGTTAGATCTTCATCCCTCTTTGCTGCTGTGTCCAATTACCAAAATTACCACCTGGATGAGTATAATGAATATTCTATGTCTTGGGGTGTACGTTTTTATTAACCTTCTCTTTGCTTTGAACTTTTCAGCATTAACTATTATGTCTCCATGTCTAGATTTAGCCTGTAATAGTCTTAGATTCACTGACCTTAAACATCTAGTCTGAACACAGCTGAAATTTTTTTAAATGACCTCATTTCTTCTTGTGTCTGAAACCTAATGTTTTACAAGCCGTTTTGAGGCTCAGTTAAACGTATTTATAGCCCATTCATATTCCGCTTATGATTATCCAAAGAGAAGGTTAAGCTCTTAAAAGACACTCAATAACAGAAAAACAAACTCTGACACTTTGACACGTTAAAGGTAAGGCTGTGTTCACACCAGCTTTGGTAATCAATCTAAAACGATTGCAGCCTTTCATGCGTACTCATACACAATAATCAAGACAAGTTTCATAGCAATAAAAGCCAATGTGCAGTTGGGATGCATCAATATATTGGCTTCATGTAGGTATCACCCAGTATCGGTCCTGTTGGCTGTCAAATCAGTCTTATTAAAGCTGTGGTAGACAAATTGTGTGCTGTAGAGCTTGAAGACTTTTAAACAGGTCAGTAAATTATTTTAAGATTAATTTATTGCCGTAAAACAAAAAGGTGAATAAATAAGAACAAAAACAAAATTAAAAGACTGTAAAAATATTGTTATCTATATCAGCCAAATTGGTATTTTAGTATCTTGCAGCCTCGAACTTCACAGTCCAAGGATCCTCACTGCACAGTATTATGAGTGTCTGATGTGGTGTCTTGAGACCCCATTACTCAAACTGGTCTTCATGGATCCCATTTCACATTAGCAACCGGGATTTATTAAGTAAACTTTGACTTCTATTAAAGGTAGCTAACTGTCTAGGGGCCTTAGTCCCCAACACACCCTTACCTTACACACTTATGCCGAAACATGTTTTAACATCTGCTAACCTTTGAGTTTTTAACTACTTCAGTCCCACTGATCTACATAAGTTGTATGACTTTTGTGTCACTATAAACTTTTAATGTCTTTTGAGATTTGACACGGTAACTAACAACAAAAAGAAGAAAAAAAGGTCTGATATGCATAAACTGCAACTCTGGGTCCAGAAAAATATCTGCAGATTAGTTTGTGATATTTTCCTGCGAATATCAGGATGATTTGTTTTAAAAACTGTGGCACCAAATGTCTTTTATCAATTATTTTTGGTAATAATTCCAAAAATGAATAGATCCAGATCTGGATCAATTATACAAGGTGCTTTTAAGATCTCCACCGCTGGTAAAAACAAATATCATGCAGATCTGTCAATAAATTTTTGAGTAATCCTGCTAACAAACAAAAATTTCTTGCTGGGGAAATTACTGAACATTGATTATTCTGCTTTAAACACCACTGTAAATATAGGCGAAGATCGATATAGCTTACGTACACGAACTGTATCCCGCAATCTCCTGCAAATAAGGGATGTTTATATAATAAATTCGAGCACTGAATCCTTTCACTGTGTTTAATAGTACTGGGTCTTCTATTGCCATGGCAGCCCTGAAACTACTTATTTTTATTGCTTCTTCTTCCACCTACAGACTAGATGAAAACTGGGATAAATTAAAACAAATTTATGCAAAGACCAAGCACAATGCTGTGAGAGATCGTGAATAGATCAGTAAGAAAATGCTCTTAAATAAAGTTTGACGAGATAAAAGGAGAAAGTTCTACAATTCCAAGGCCTGCATTTAGTAAGAATCACAAAACAAGGAGCTTCGCCACCATTTACCTCATCGCTTTAAGTGAGGACTAATGACGAGCATTTGCAGAAAGCATATGTCATTCACTGGCTGTAGATGAACTGAATATGGAGCAGAACGTGAGGTAATGGCTCCAGAGTGCAGTCTGGAGTGAACTGAGCGACATAGTGTGCGGTGAGGGTCTGTGGTGTGTGTGTTTTTTTGCGTGTCTCTTTATTTGTGTCCGTCTGTGTCTGTGATCTCTGCGGGGCGCGATATTGATGCTGCGCTTCCCCGCAGACTCGGTTTGGGATGCTGTCCAGAGCTCAGCTTCAGCACCAGCTCCCTTTCTCACACACACAGAGTTATACCCGCCCACACATTTTCTCCTGCACGCACAGACACACACATGCACAGTTACACCTGCCTACGCATCCTCTCTTGTGGACACAGAGACACAAAACACACATAGAGCACCGACACACACCTTTTGTCACTTTTGACTGTGGTGGCGGTGCATAAGGCTTCAATTAGTTTGGACACCTCTGAGGTTTTTGGTCCAGCACTAACATTATTCCTCTGATCTGGACAGGCCTGAATGGAGCTGAGCACAACAGTGTGTATATCCATTAGCCTGCATCCCTAAGCCAGTGTGTGTATGTGTGTGTGTGGGTGATGCTTGTTGCGATTGAGAGATTTAGTATGCGTATGTGTGGGCAGGTGTGATTTTGTGCGTGTGAGCCATGAAGGAGGAGGGAGGTAGTGGCTGCAGTGAGCCAGCTCTGACACCAGAGCCGGCTCACTGCAGCTCTGACACCAGGTTTTAGAGGTCAGTCTCTTTTGACTCATAGTTCTGCACCCAGGTCTCTGAAAGTCTTGAACCTGGGATCAACTTTGTTTGTATGTATCTTATTACTCATGTGAAAAAGTGATTGCAAAGGAGCCTATAGTGTTTACAGACTTCATATCCTTTGTGGCTTTGCTCTCTTGCGCTTCCAATCAGTTGTAATTGGAACAACACTAACAGTGTGTTTGGGAGTGCCTTTTAATATCTGCCACGAAGAACAGAATAGCAGGATAGTTATATTGGTTTTTGCTTTGACGAGACTTGAAGAGACTATTTATTTAGCAGCTTTGCATGAATCACAGTTAATAATCATTCTTGTATATTTTGCCATGCATATAGGATTTTTAAAACCGATACAGATACATTTGGTGATTTAAACCTCAGATATTCCAACACAAAAAACAGGTCTGAAACAAAGTATTTTAGCTCCTTTCCCCCTCACTTTTCTTCTGACTGGCATCCTCTTGTAAAATTTGAAGCAGCAGGTGGGTGAACCCCTTCGATGCTCACAGTTATAGTCTCCCTGAGATGACCATTATAAAGGTTCTCCACTCAGTTTGATATCAAACAGATCCAAGAGTAGAAAAACTTTATTAAACTTAAGTCTGAAACTGAGATACTACTTTATATCAATTGCTTGTACATACACAGACATCAACTCTACTACTGTAACAGTATACATAAGACAGATAATAGGCCTCCTAAGTTGCTTAGCAGCGACAATTTGCACATGGGTTTCAGTCACGCATATATAATATATATAGATCATGTACTAATAATCACAACTATAATTAGAATGATAATAATATCAGGAGACTGATATAATATTAATACATTCCCCACTTAACTTGAAGCTGGCTGTTTCCTTTTTTTGTCTGTCATTGGCATTTTCACAATTCACTGCACTACTCAGCTGGAGTCCCCCTACCCTGTCAAATATAATACACATCATTGCACACGCCAGACCGCCACAGTACATGAGACACATCCTGTGTGTAGCTTTGCCTGGTGGTTTGTTGTCATTTTGTCTGTCTGGGTATGGATGTAGTGTTTGAGAGCAGCGCTTGTGTAATTAAACTCAGTCATAACCGATCACTGCGTGGAAGCTAGGCAGACCTGTCATACTTTCATATAGAGGAGTGATGAGTATGATAATGCTAATCAGGCCACTGTGGTGACGCTCATCTGTGTCATGGAGTTAAAGGGGCATTCGGACAAAGCAGCAGAGCCGTTTGTGCGAGACTGCGCTAAGCTTAGCTCAGTTACCTCTTCTCTCGATCACATTCACCAAGACTTGCCGTGTCATGCCAGATGTGTCATCTCTCCTGTTGTCTCCTTGACCTTTGTCCTCTCTGCTAATTCCGAACAGTCTGTTCTGCCCACATCTTTTCTTCTTCTCTCCTCGCCTTTATGTACCATCTTCCACATAGCTCCAGAGTCCTTTTTCATGCTACCATTCACTTTGTCGCTCCCCCCTGACCTCTCCTCTCCCCTCTCTCTTCCACCCACTCTCGTTGCAGTAAGCACAGCAGCCTGGATCCATATTGGATTATTGTGTTTGCCGTTAGCCTCTGGGTTGACAGTGTAATTGCCTTTATCCACCATGGCCTCTGCAAGCCTACCCCCCCCCAATCTGCAACAAATACTAGGTAGACAGTGTGTCCATGTTGCAAGCATGACCTTTTAACCTTCCAGTTAAAAACCTAGTAGATCAAATGGTAATCATCTTCCATAGCGTTGTTTCTGCTCAAAAGCACAAACCATCCCCATGAATTTCTGTTTCACACTCTGTATGAATATGTATGCTGCCTTCAAGCACCTGATGTTTTGGAGTCAGTGCCCACGTATCTGCCACATCCTCAGGCAGGCCCACAGCCTAGTCACACTCAGCTTTATCAACAAAAAACTGGCTGCTTTTCTGTTCATGCTGTTGATGAGAGAGTTGAAGTTTTCGGACCATTAACGACTTGTTTTGTCTCCCTCGCCCTCTCGCCTTCCTCTCCCCCATCACATTTGTTTACTTGTGCTCAGGGTCGCTGCACACGAGAGAACTGCAAATACCTCCACCCACCTGCTCACCTGAAGACCCAGCTGGAGATCAACGGGCGAAATAACCTGATCCAGCAGAAGACAGCTGCCGCCATGTTGGCTCAACAAATGCAGTTTATGATCCCCGGCACCACCATGCAACCTGTGGTTAGTGTGAACTCGCTACTGTGGGAATTGATTGTCTCTCTGAGAAAATAGCAGTGAATTCCATTGTCGTGATTAGCATTAAAAAGTTTGGTGTCAAGCAATGCGATTCACTGACTTTATCCAGTCTTTGGTAAGGTACTTTATTGTTATCTAAACTCTCAGATTTGACTGTTTTTAGATTACGTCTCAGGCTTGGAAGATCAGAAATTTTTTCTTCGCTTTTGTAATGCCCTTGTGCAACGTACAAAAAGTCCCCAGCTGTCCTCAGGGAGTTGCTCAGCAGCCAGCCCTATACTGTGGTTGCACTGGGTAGCTGCCAGGTGTGACTTTGTTTAACTGCATCAGTTTAGTGCTAGGTGTAACCAAAAAAGAACGTGCATGCTCAGCAAAATCTTCCTGGGATACATAACGGTTAAAAAAAACAAAAAAAACTGAACCTCCTCTTGTTTCTACTCTCACACTCCTCTCTCTCTTTTTTTCTCAAGCCGATCCCTTTCCCACTCTCTCTCTCTCTACCTGCCACATTCTCTCCCCAGCTGCACCCTCTGTTCATTTGCCTTTGGTGTCTCTTTCCCCCTTACTTCTCTCTTTCTTTCTCATCTCCATACCCTCTTACTGCCTTTCACCCTCCACTTCCCACTGTCCCTGCCTACATCCATCATCTTTCAGTTCAGCATTTTTTTTTAATCTATCCTTACCATTTTAATTAAGGATGTGAAAAATAGCTACTGAAAGAGCAGTCATAAACATGTCGTTTCTCTCCATCTGCAGCAGACGTTTCCAGTCAGCCAGGGGCTGGGGTCCAGCGCAGGTTTAAGCTACACACCCTACCTGACTCCCATGTCCCACAGCATGGGTCTGGTGCCAACAGACATCCTGCCCAGCACTCCGGTTATCGTCCCCGGCAGCCCGCCCATCTCCGTGACCGCTGGCTCTTCCTCCAACCAGAAACTTCTGCGTACTGACAAGCTGGAGGTGACCCACCCAATCAGAATTCTCCTGCATGGCACTTAATCATAGTGAATGTACTCTTTGAGGCTGTGAAGTGTAATTAGTGTAGCATCTTACTGTGATTATAAATGAGTATCCTTTATAGTTCAGGAGCTTTTACAGGACCCTCTGTGATGCAGTACTTCCAAAAACATGTCTGCTCTCTCCAAAGATTTTCTTTATACTGGTAAAAAATGCAAACTACTTCCTTTAATTTCCACAAGAGTTTGCAGCGATGAAAATACAGCCTTATACAAACTCTCCACTTTGAATTAGCTTTTTTAAATGCGCTACTTGTAGTATAATTTACCTTAGATATTGACCTGAAAGGGTAAGCAAGTTTTTAGCATTCTGTTTTATAAGCAAGTTATAAATGACGTGAATAAATACACTTTGAAGTTGCCTTGGAATGAGTCCAAATAAACAATTCAGGCTCTGAAAAAGTTAAGTGGGAGCAAAACAATTAAATCTCAAATCATGTTTCTTTTATAAAAAAAAAAAAAAGAGGCTGTGAGATTTGTAACTGCGGTAGCTGTTTTATAACCAGCACGTATCCAGGCTTTGTCTTTCAGGGGGGGGATCATTTTTCATGGAAACATCAGTATTAGGCTCCTCTCCTCATAGATCTTTATATCAGCTGTGTCCTTGAACACAACTTAAGGGGTATGATTTTGTTATGCCTTGTAGAAGTAATAAATAAGATGGTGTTATTGAAGATTTTGTAATTTGAATTTTTTCAAGATAAACTGCTACTTGCTAGACAGACGCAGTTCGGCTGGGACGCTTTCAGCAACTTCAGCCATCTCCATCTGCCCCCCTGGCAAACGACGCTGAATGAGAATAGCTCTGTGATTGTGAGGCAGTGGAGTTTTGGTTTTTTTTTGTTTTGTTTTTTTACCCCGCTATATTTATAAAGATAAACAATAATCTCCCTAAGACCTAGAGGTGATGTGTAGGTGTGTGCCTGTATGTGTTTTTCTGCAGAGTGCTATCACTTAGCAACTGAATGAAGCAGCCTCTAATGAAACAGTATCCCTCTGAGACACTTACATACTCCCCCACAAAGCCATCGTGCACACGTGTGTGTGTATATGTCTGTGTGTGCCTGTATATGTGTGTGTGTTTCAGTCCTAGAGTGGAAGTCAAAAGCAGATCCCTCCTGTGATTACGCCCAAGCCTCTGAACAGTTGAACACACACACTTAGGTTTTGTTACGTTTTGTTGAGCCCTTTTCACACTGTGTCCAAAACTAATTAATAGCCTTATTTAAAAAACAACAACAACAAATAACACAAAATTATGTTTTTTCATTTTTCCCTTTTTTAATATTATGTGTATCACATATACGTTTTATTTTGGGGGACGCTGAGAGAAGATTGTTATTGCAGTTATCTTCTTTTTGGAGAGAAGCGCATCACTATGAATAAATCTATATGGCAAATGTTTATACAGTATCTCACAGTGTGCTTTTAATATTCTCCCATATATGTAATATATTATTTATTAACCCGCTGTGCTGCTTCTCACACTCCTTACACTCACATGAACCACTGCAGCCATAATTCATTATGTGTTGGTAATTGTTATTGTTGTTATCATATAGGCGTTGTGTGAAAAAAAGTCTTTTTGCTCTATTATGCAGTATTAAACTTGGAGGATGATTATGCTTGTAAGCATTATCAGTGAGAGCAATGTAAAAAGAGCAAAAGAGCAATCTCTTATTGAACAGAAATGCATGCATTCTGTTGTTTTTGATCATCTGATCAACAGAAATGTAGGTAATATTTGAGTAAATGATGCCCAGCATTAATGGCTTTGACATCTTTTGGGTGTGTCAGAAGCTTTTCTCGACTGGAAAATCCCTGATGTTTCAGGCTTGTCATAGTTAAAACAGTCAGATGTCAAAATTTCAAATCCTTAAAGATAAATCTAATAATCTTATCAAGATTTTGATGTCTGCTTGAGTCATCTTGCTTTAAGATGACAAGAAATATAAGGAGCCGCTGCTAGCTAAAGCAATGAGAGCAGCCTTGTTTTGTTTCCTGACATGTACTGAAAGCTAAAGCATTCACTGTTTTGTCTTCTACGTGTGTTTGTTTCCTCTGTGTGCATGTGTCCATGTGTGTTTGTCTGTGTGCGTGTGTGTCCTTGTGTGCGTGTGACTGTCCCGCTTCCAGGTTTGCCGCGAGTTCCAGCGGGGCAACTGCGCTCGCGGCGAGACAGACTGCCGTTTCGCCCACCCGAGCGACAGCCCCATGATCGACACCAGCGACAACACGGTCACCGTGTGCATGGACTACATCAAGAGTCGCTGCTCTCGCGAGAAGTGCAAGTACTTCCACCCCCCCGCCCACCTGCAGGCCAAGATTAAGGCCGCCCAACACCAGGCCAACCAGACAGCTGTGGCTGCGCAAGCTGCTGCCACAGCTGCAGCCATGGTGAGAGTACAGCCCACCTTCTGTGTCTCGTGGCTTCACAGCAGTAGAGCAGGAAAGACACAAACATACTAGTTTCACAAGGTTTCTGCTTGTTTAGTGTTTATAGTGGAAGAGCTTGTAACATTTAGATGGGCTGTTTTATAGCTCTTATATACAGCATACCTGGAACTTTCTAAGAGTTGAGGCTGTGGAAAACTTTTATACTTTTTTCTATTATTTGTGCATCAAATAAATGATGATTGGAAGTTTTATGGATAGACATAAGAAGCACAACATAATATATACAGTATATCGCAGTGAAATCAAATTTATTATAGCAGAGGGGAGGTGGTAATAAAACTGCTGTGCCTGGTGCTACCTGCCTTTATACAAATCACATAATGTTTCAGATCAAGAGACCCTTCTGAGTAAAGTTTGTACTAGTTAGACTACATAACACATAGGCCCTCTGAAGGCAAAACATTAATCCAAATCAACCTAAGCACATGTTGCTGACCGTGTCACCTACAGTAACATAAAATGTGGAGCACTGCTTTATTACTGCACAAAACCTACCCACCTCTGCCGGGTTTTTTCTAGTGGACTCCAGTGCACAATTCACCAACAATAGTCATCCCAAAGAGTGGCCTTTGTATAGAATAAAAAGGCTTTAGCGAGACCTAAACAAATCAGTGTAACTCTGCAAGAACAATCTGTTATTATCTCTCTGCAGTCCTCTTTTATTTTCCAATGCCCTTGTTTCGTACAAAGACAATATCCTGGCTCACCCCCTCATCCAACCCCACTGCTCTCAATGATAAGTGCGGTTCTCTGCAGATCAGTACAAATTGAATTTGGGACGGATGAGGATGCAGCATCCTACCTCTGCCTTTATTTTGACCAAATATAAATAAAGAAATAAAACTTCCCCAACAATGTGAGGAGCAGACAGAATTCAAGTCAGCCAGAGAGACAGTGAGAAGAGTTTGGCATTATGTCTTGGCTGTGCCCCGCCTTTCCCCGGCCTCTGAGCGGCTTCTTTTGAATGATCCTGTGGCTAACTGCACTCGCACACCTTGCACTGCGCCAGTGTGCTCACTGACTTTTTTTCCTCCATGGCATGGGCATGCTTTGTGCGTCGCACACACCTCTCATTGGCTGGCTCCATTGCTGCTTGCTCTCCTTCTTCTTCCTTCATGAGTGATCCACAGCGTTGATGATAAGGCAGGCTAGCGTGTGCACATATTAGCAGCTGCATTCAAGCAACAGCAAATTGAAGCATCCATAAATAAGAAAAAAGGCCTTGAGACCCGAAGGCGCTGTAACCTGATGTTGACCTGACTGCGCTGTTTTCTTAAAGGTACCACGAGTTTATATTGCCGGTGCATCCTCTTCACAATCCTTTGCTCATACTCCTCCCGTCTTCCTCCCCAGTTTATCAACTTTATGACCCAATTCCCAAATTGTGCAGTCAGATTCTGCACTAGAGGTGAGGAGGGCTAACCTTAGGACAACGAGTTGTTTAGTCAGCACCTTTAATCCAATTTTCTTTTAGTCCTTTTATTGAAGCAGGGACCCATAAAACCTGTTTTGCTGCACTGCTGTGAATAGGTAATACCATTATCCATAATTCACTTTTTAAAATCTAAAGCAAATAGGATAAAGCGCACAGTAGATAAGGTTACACATTAACTGATGCAGTTACAGTAAAAAGGTCCTCTCACTGAGATTATGTTGTTTTACTGTGCCACATTACGTGTTGCTTGCCATGCTGTGATCTTCTTCCTCATTACAAAGGCGAATGCAGTCATCTTTGCTTTTCATGTCACTTTAATAGAGCATCTTTCATTTTAACTAACCGCAATGTTTAACTCTGTGGTGCATCAGCAATGCATTGTTGCTGTTTAATTGGACATACATACATACTATTAAAAAACCCACATACATGAAGCATAGGCTTGTGCATGGACCCTTAAGTGCTGTGTTCATCACACCCGTGTCATCTTTTTTCTTTTTTTTCCCCTCTCAGCAGTGACATCAAATATCAGGATGTTTTTTAAGAAGTTAGCACAAAAACAATTGATATAAAATGACTTATTTTTACTTTGTTAGATTAGAGGAATTTTAATAAACAGAGCTCCACATTATGTTATTAAACTGTAACGTTGCCTCACCTTCCCGAGTTCATTGATCACACCTAACAACGCCACACACCCTCACAACGCAGATTTAGTTTGAGGATGTGTCTGTAGTTGAATTGACGCTACAGAGAAGGATGTGGTTGTTAAACTATTTTTGTTAGCCTTTGCTAGTATCTGTACTAATTTGTAGTTTTTTGTTTTGTTTTGTTTTTTTAAATTTGCCTTCACAAAGGTATCCAGTTCTTGCTGCTGGTTGTGAGGGCTGTGTCTTTTTTTTACCTCACTCACATCCGAGTGTGCTGCTGTGTACATTTTAACGTTTGTCAGCCTCGAACCACCTCACGTCATCAAATAGGTTAGCTTTCTCCAGGAGCGCCTTAATGGTTGTGTGCGTAGGTCTGTAGTGTCTTACTTTGAACACTTCTCAGAACTTCAGCGCAGATCTCACATCAAGTGTCAGATCAATATTCCTAGTCTGAGCCAGTCGTGTTTAGCGTACTACTTTTCTGTTCTTGCTGTTCAGAAGTAGTTAGTTACTAAATGCTTTCCCGGTAGCTTTGGAGTACATTGTAGAATCTTGCTTATTTTTTTAACCAAAGTTTAATTGTAGATGCTTTTTTTTGGCTTTTGTACTAATTCAAAAAGTAGCAATGTTTCTTTAAAGTAAACGAAACAAAACAAATTTTTGTTTATGTGCATGCCTATTGTTTTGTATGTGGTATACTTGCATTCAGATTATTTTTGTTTTTGTTTTTTTCCTTCTCACCTATCCACAATGCAATGCTGTCCCCCATGACGCACCTCTGCTTGCTGTTACCTGTATGTTAATACGCTTGAATCCCATTGGCCCACTGCCATCATGTGCTCGCTGCCTGCTAATTAAAGACTCAGTCGACTGCCAAAGCAATGAAGCGACCCCTCGAGGCAACTGTAGACCTGGTACTTTGACCTTTCACCTTTTGCTTTGCATGTAGCTTCTTTAATTGTACTGTAGCCACTCACAAAATTTAATTTGGCTCTTTTGTTTTTTGTGAAACCCTGTAAAAGACTTTAATGATATAAATATGTATCATTTATGATCACCAGTGGCAACTCTAGATTGTACTGTACATTTGTTAACTGAACAACTACAATGTAATGTTAAAATAACTCCAGCTATCGCACTTTCTTTAATGTGTTGTTGACGATTGCCCTGCTACGGTGTAGTTTCTCATTGTCCTTGTGATAGTTACAGCAAGTTTCCATTTTTGCCTTCTTGTGCTGTGCATAGACAAATACCAGATTTAGGAAATGTTAGTGTCGACTTGTGTGAGTATACAGTTCAAATCTGTTGTGCTCCTGTTGTGTGTGTGTGTGTGTGTGTGTTGTCGGTGGCTAGGCGTTCCCCCACGGCGTCCTCCAGCCCCTACCAAAGAGACCAGCACTTGAGAAGAGCAACGGAGCGAGCTCCCTGTTCAACCCCAGTGTTTTGCACTACCAGCAGGCGCTGGCCAACGCACAGCTCCAGCAGCCCGCTTTCTTTCCCACAGGTAAGACACGCACGCAGCGCGCAGATGCAGATAGAAGCAAAGCACTCATAGGTATGCGGAGCACGCACGCACACACAGACACACAGCTATCCTCCAAACGTGTTGTTGTTTTGGAGCTTCACACGCATAAAAGAGGGGATTCTCAAATGACCGTTTACATCTGTTTAGCCTAATTTTCATCTTTTGGCATGGATTTATTTGAGTGATGCTAATAAAGGCCTTCGCTGTGAGGGTGTGTTTTCAATATTCACTGCGCCATCCCTAAAACTTTGATCTAGTGCCTGCAAATATAAACACATAATTGCTGCCAGGTGGAAGGGCAGTGCGCGCTTTGATCAGAGCAATGAAAGCTATCATATATTACCACCTCAATATGATACACCTGCCAGTCTAATCCCCAAGCATACAAAGGAGCAAAACAAGCCCAACTGTTTCAGCACAAGTGCAATACTAAAATATACAAAATATGGTGAATATTGTTGTTTTGGCGATAATTTTATTCCAGTTTTACCAAATTTATTCAGTGTTTTTTATCCGCAAATGAACACTCTGTCTGCTTCTCGCACAGAAAATAGCAGTACCTGAAGGGCCCTTGAGTCACTTGCTAAATGAGTTAACTGCAGCTAATATGGTAGCCTGTAGCCACACTCATGACTCATGAGGATAAGACTCCTATCCCTCGCTCTTCTCACTACCTGCCTGCTCTTTTTGTTTCCCTTGGTACGGGATTCCTAATGGTGCTTCATCCATCCCTTCCTCTGTGTGTATCTGTGTGTGGGGCGTAGCCTGGCTCACAGTTGCATTTTTTTACTAACCTTTTACATTTCAGATAGGTGGGGTTTCTTCAAAGTTAAGATAAAAAGAAAAGTCTCAGGAGTTGTTTGCCTGTAATATGTATGTGATGGAGGCTTACCTGAGTACAGTAAAAACCCCACGTATCTCCATCTGATCTGGATAGAAGCCTGTGCACATCATTGTACTGATACTGCAAGATGCTGCTGTCTGGCACACCTCTTCAGTTTTATTCTTGCCTCTTTTTTTTTTTGACCAAAAAGTGCGATTTCTTTGTCTGTTTATTTTTTTTGATTTGATCATTTAATCATGTGCAGCTATTCAGAAATTCCAAAACAAGAAACATGCAGAACAGCATGTTGTTGTAAGAAGCCTAACATACAGTACGAGCAGGCTCAAGTCTTTTTTAAATATTGTGCAGCCTGAAATGACACATTAATACAATATGTCACCAAAAATGAATATCCTCTGACCTCGGGAAAAACTCCCTGAAAAATGGAAAACTGGACAGACAGACTTACATTAGCGCTGCATTGCACTTTGCTAAACTTGTCCAGATTTTTCCGTACCTAAGTTTGCTTTATGTTAAACTTTGCTGCAGCTGCATATAAACAGTATTCTAACTAATAAATAACTCAACAACTTAATACATCTCTGCTTGCTTTCATAATCAGCCGACATTGCTCCAGTAACAATAGCAACTGAGCTGAGTGAAGTCCTCAAGCCTTTTGGGGTTTTTTTTCTGTGTGTCTTGTCTAACCTTGTTGTTCTCCTTCCTCTCGATTAACCCATTTATTTCCTCCTCTCTCTCTCCCTCTCTCTCTCTCTCCCTCTCTGTTTCCCCCCTTTCTCTCTTTATCTTTCTCTGCATGAACACAACAGGGTCAGTCTTGTGCATGACTCCCGCTAGCAGTCTTGGTAGGTTCTGACCTTCTATTTGCTCTCTCACACACACACTGTCTGATTTAGGTGGGAGTTTTGGGGGATGGAGGGGTGGGGGTGGGGGTATGAGTGGGCACTATCTGCAGCCCCCCTTGCAGGTGAGACAAAAGGACATGATTCGAACACTTGTGAGTTATTATCAAGCTGCCGTTTTGTTTCACCTGGAAGAGATGTGACTTTTCAGCGCTCGTCTCGCCGCTGACTGACTCTCTTGCTAATGTTTAAAGTGTTAGCGTGGACGCCGCAGACTGATCTGTTCTTAAGCTGTAGGATAGTTTTGTCTGTTTGCTGTGCTGTGTTGATCAGGAAATTTAAATCAGTTTCCCAGAGAAATTACACACAAACCGGAGCATTTGTCGCTGCACAACAGGGGATGGGAATTACCAAAAATGCAGCTGATAACATCAGCAGGTCCAACATTAGCAACAAGGTAAACTAATGACTAGAAATAAGCCCTAACAGCCACTTGGGTTTTTAAGATCTCTCATCTCTGCTGTTTGACTCGTCAGCCCACACGAATCCAAAAGTTCCCATCCCCATGCCATCGATTCATCATAATTGGTGTCTTGTGCCCTTTAATTTCTCTGGGAAAAACAGCAAACTGATTTTCCACATAAATTTCCTTACTTGTGATTGTAATCAGCTTCTCTCCTCTTGTTTTTTTTTTCTCCCATGCTCTCTTTTCCTTTCTTTCTTTCTTCCTGACCTCCTTTGCTTTGCATTGTGAATGGTTGCATGCCATCTGCCGGTGTAACCCTAACGATGGCTTGCTGGCTCTCTGTAACATCCGCCACCATCAACACCAACAACAAAAAATAAACAACAACCCCGTCAACATGCACGCACGCACCCATGCACGCACCCATGCACGCACCCATGCACGCACGCACCACAACTGTTACCACAACTACCATAATGCTCCACCTACCTGTCCATTGCTACCACCTCCTTCCCTCTTCCCCCCATTCCTCCTCTTCCTCCCCTCTCCCCTTTCCTACCCTCAAAACAAAGTCCCAATGATGTACAGTGCTACGCCTGCTACTGTCTCTGCAGCAACAACTCCTGCCACAAGTGTCCCCTACGCAGCAACAGCACCAGCCAATCAGGTTTGCTCCTTTTAAAGCTTTCTTTCATCAGTCCCCGGAGCTCTGAATAAGTACTGGGCTGCGATAACCTTAACCCACACCTAGCCCATCCCCATCTGTCCATCGGTGCACCTGCACAGGGCACGCTCACACTGGCATGAAAGCCTGTGAGTGGGTGTTTTCTAGACAATTTAAAGCAAAAAGCAGTGTACCTCTTATAAATCACAGCCCCCATTAGGCAAACCCGACAAGCACTTCTTCAGAGCTCCCACATTTGCAAGTAGTAGTTGTGTTGCATTACTTCCTGATTTTTGTCTTTTTTTGCATGTTCTGTTTGTTTTTTGTTTGTTTTTTAAAATTAGTTTTATTTTCCACTTTTCTTGTTGTTGTCGTCAAATAAGCCTCTCCATCTGCAGTAGGGGCCTCATCTGTACTGCTTGTGTGCTCTGCAAACACACACGTTCAAGCAAATACACACGGACGATTTCCGCAGCACCTAACAGCCGGTTCGTAACAGCAGCTATGTTGGATCTATTCCTGTTTTCCACTCCTCTCGGCTTCACCTTTTTACCTTTTCCTGGTTGCAGGATAAAAGGGAGAATAAATCATGTGAGGCAACAGTTCTAGGCTACACTTGTCAGGGTGAGAGACGCAGGAAAAAAAAAAAAGAAGATCACAGAAGCTGTCTAAAAATGGCCCCTGATCGGCGGCTCTCCTGTTGCCACGTGTCAAGCAAGAGCCAGGGAAGCAAGGCCAGGTTTTTGAATGCCAGAGTGACGCATGTGTGCCCCATTTTAAACCTGGAAATTTCAGCACAATGCTGGCACACCGGCCTCATGCAGCTGGCAATCATTTACTGGTAGTTCTGTATCGAGGTACGCTGAGGACAACACGCGGCGAGCACATGAAAAATATTTCCACGCAATCTAAAGACAAAAGCGACAGACAGGCATGTGTGTCTTGTATAAGATTGAATTTAGTTGAAAAACTTGCCAACAGTTCAAAGCGGCACGAGAGAAGCGCAAAATAAAGTGCGGGTAAAATTATCTCACTTATTATAATAGCAGTGCCTACTACTATACCAACGACCAATATAATCCTTCCCCACCTCTTTTTTCAGACTCTGCTCCTCCATATTTTTCTTTTTTTGTACTTTTGCTTACTGTCTCAATGTGGAAAAAAACCCCTTACATTTCCTTGAAATTAAACATTTTCATGATGCCTATAAAAGTGATATCTAACATCAAGATTAGAGCTCTCACCGTAAGAAATGACTGCTCACATTTCAAATTAAAAAAAGGAACGTAAATCCTTTCTCCAAGATCCCCTTTCCATCATTAACCACGGGTCTGGTCCCACCACTTGTGCGCTTTATTGCCCCTCATAGGCCAGCAGCGTGTGCACTTCCTGTGAGTCACCGACTCTTCCTGTAATTGGCATGCAGCAGCAGTAGCAGCAGGAAGCAGAGCTGCTCTTTAAAGATGCATGTGGGACAAGGAGCCGGAGAAACACTGACGTCAGCCTTTGCTCTCTGTCTCCGTCTGTCCCCCTCCACTTACACTCCACCCCCTACCCGACTCTTTCTCTCACCTCCTCTCCAGCCCATATAAAGATCCCTCCAGCTAATGCCAGGTATGAGCAGGGCCTCGGACACAGTTAGCCCTTGTAATCACCAGCTGTGCTGCATTCAGTGCAGTCATAAAAATCATATGGCTTTTCCAAATACACACCCAGGCATTTTCTGAGGGTACGGGGCTGCCGACGTCACTCTGTCCTAAACAGTGGTGCATTTGTCCCGATACTAGCGGCCTGCCGTCAGCTTTTTAGCTTTGATTATTATATTGGTTCTTTAACATAAATCCTGGGCCGAGACAGTTTGAGCCGAACTCGATAATTAATTGGGCGTCGTGTTCAGCCGAGGAAATCTGTGTCTAAAGGGTATTACACACCCCTGTGACGCCAGGATGCTGACACTCGTTAAGACCTCAGGAGTCTGGTCGATTCATGACCTTCTGAACTATTCATGCGACGCACATCGTTGCATGTCCTTGCACATATTAAGCATGTCCTAATGCTGCCGGGGTCTCCAGTTGTGAAGTGCTACATATTACTGGAGATTGTGAAGTTGCAGCACCCTCTGCTGTCGCTGTGCTGCAGTCGACTCAGACTTGCAGCCTAGAGGGGATCGCTTTGGCTGCTGGACTGATGGGAAGATTATGCTCAAGTAGAATTACACATTGTTATGTCGAGGAGCTCTTCAGCTGGAGCATAAGAGTTGGATGCTTCACCTTGCTGTAGAGGGAACCTGCTTTAATTCTTATCACTTAATTAATATTTCATCTTATGAAATTTGCAAACTAGGTCACTGTGATACCGTGCAGTTCTTATAATTAGCTGATATTAAGGCGTAAAAAAGGAAGTACAGCAGTTTAAATGTCCGCTGTGATTTTGCAGCACGTCATCTTCGTCTGCTGTCTCTCTGACTCGTTCTGGGCTGAAACACGCTGCTGGTATCACTGCACCAAATCAAAGGCAAACAGGACCTGCAAACAGTTCTTGGCATTAGTTTGTAGCGTCCTATCTGTTAAATCCCACCCATCTGGCAGCCCAAATTTTTTCCCCTAATTTCCACACTGCACTGCCTTCTCTCTCGACCTGTGCACATCACACGCTCTCTCCCACTGTGGTGACCTCCTGTGATGTGTGGTGTGACCAGCGGCTTCTGTCCTTTGCTGGCCGTCCATTGTCTATTAACAAGCGTCATGTGGCTTTGTTCTGCGTTGGCTTGCTGCCAGTGGCGCCCACATGATGGCAGCCAGCATCTCTCCTACCTGTCAGCCCCCCCTTATAGACAGTCTCACACTGTCTCGCTTTCTCTTTGTTGTGTGGCGGTTTAGGCTTAATCTCTTAAAGAGAGAATACAAACCGAGGTTACCAGACGAGGGTCAAATGCTATTTGCAAATAGTTAGAAGCTTGGTTCTTATCTGCATGAAACACCAAGCTGGTGATGTTGCCACAGCTCATCAGTAAGACAGATATGTGTTATTCACTGGCAAATACTTATCTGTGCTCATCTGACCTTTCTCACACATTGTTGTTGTGGTAAACACCTCCTACCTGTTGCTTTGGTGTCAGTCTGCTTCAGAGAAATGATTATGCACAATATGCCACGTGGACTGAATCTAAAAGGAAAAGTTTCACAGTTCGTCACAGCCTCCTCTTGAGCACATATGAGGAGCTGTAAAGCAGCTGTACTAATTTAACGCTAACCAGCTCAGCTAATGATTTGAAAGAGTGCAAATAACACCCTGAGATAAGTTTGAGTTGTTCCTACTTCAACACCTCCACACCTGGCTGTTTTTTAAAATTAAAAAAATATATATTGTTATAGTTATTGCATTATTGCAAAGGAGGCTTTAGAAACTGTCAGACTAACAAGGACTTTGTTTAATCAGACAAAAGGCAGATTTGATCCAGATCTAGATTTATATTTGATCTGACATTAAATTGATCAGAAATGTCACAATATAAAATGCATTTATGGGTAATGGAATCATATTTCTATTAGGTCTGAATTTTGCAGAGATAACAAAGATCCATAATGTTACATCATCCACGTTTATCATATTAAAATACTACTGTGTCATGCAAGCACAGCTGAGACTTTGCAGGTTTTGTCTATAGTCTCAAAATCTCCTTTAAAAAATGAGCTTTTTTTCTGAAGCTCAATAAAGATATGCCAACTGAATAATCTGGATGTAGCAGGTACCATTTACCAGTACCGTTTAATGAAGATGCCAGTTGAGGACCTTTTCTATCTGTTGTGGTAACAGCAAGGGCCCGCAGGCAGCAGGTGCTGTATGAAATCTTCAGCTCGAACAGCTGTCATTTATTAGAACCAAAATAAAATGATTAGAGATGCACCAATTGCTATTTTTTAATGATTCCAACAACGTCAATGACAACACATTCAAACAAAAATCAACTTCACTTCAATGCAGAATATTATTTTCATAATAAATTAGTTGTTAAACTTTACAATTAAATAGTCTTCTCTGTGTGAAACTAACGAAAATGAAGTGCTTTTCTCCTGGAAGGGAGAAAACGCTGAAAATGAGTTTTACACACATATTTATCTGATGTACGATACTTATACAAAAACAAAAGCAGGTGCAGCAGAATTATCGAAGAGAATAAAGTTCAGGTACTACATTTTTCAGTGTGTTAAAAGCTGCTAAGTAACAGGACGTCGACACTTTTCTGTTTTTCACTCATCTTCATATTTTTCCACTTATCTGCTTTGATCCTTTGCTCATACCGAGGCTGCTGGCTTGTGGCTAGCTCGAAACTCTGAACAGCTTTAGCTTTAACCACTTTTTCTTTGTTAGCTTCTTTAAAATGTTTGACTAGGTGACGGGGATTTAAGTGTCTTATTAGGTTTGTTGTTAGGAATGCTAGAAAGCCACAGAGGGTGATGCTCAGATTTATTGCTTCTTTACTCGGCACATTTTGCATTAGATAGCAACATGCTCCACTTGAATACAGGGTTGCTTGTAGCTGGATATGGGGCTCTGTGTATTTATACAGTAATAGGGAGAAAACCCTAACAATCAAACAACCCCTACAAGCAAACACTTGGTGACAGTGGGAAAGAAAAACTCAATTTTAACAGGAAGAAACCTCGGGCAGAAACAGGCTCAGAGCAGGTCAGCTGTCTGACAGGTTGGGGGTGAGAGGAGGAAGATTGTGTTTTACAATATTTCTGATCAATTTTATGTAATCTTAGAAATAAACAAAGTTGATTTTCTTCCAAAAACATTTCCACATTTTTTAGCTGTAGTGCTAGTCTTTTGATTTATAAAGAATTTGCAAAACTTTTAAACACAATAGTGTGTGCAGATAAAGTTGTATTTCTGTCTTATAGGTAAACTGAAACGCTCTCTCTCTTTTTTTCTTTGTCGTTGCTTTCTCTGTCTCTGTCTCGCAGATTATCCTGAAGTAAGCGTCAGGAAGGGAACGGAGTGTCAAGAAGCTGCACTAGGAAACCCAAAACATCCCCTCTGTAAATACTACCTAACCTCTCCCATAGAGGTCCAGCAACCTGCATGCTAAGAGTGTAACACTTCAATTTAACCATAAGAACTGCAGTACCGGTGTAACACACACACACACACACACACACAGGAAAAAATAAAAAGATATATACTGTATGTATTGCTAGAAAAAAAAACTATTAACAATAAAACATCAAAAAATATTCTTATGTATAGTACATACATAGCAGACACACTATAGAGGTCATTTTAACAACTGTTCTCTCAGAATACCGTGGATCTCCTCTTCTTGCATATTTATTCTAAAAACCAACCTGCACAATATTCATCCCTTTGGTTAGTCAAGAAAAACACAGATGTTTGATTTGCACTATATGAAAGTATAGTGTTTAATGTTGAAGACAAGGAAGAGTCACAGAGACCCCATGCACAACACACCTACGCACGCGATGCTTTCACGAGGGTTTTTCGTCTTGCGGTCGTTGCTTTTCTCTCTGCAAAAGTTGAATGTCCTCGGGGCAGCCAGGCTCATGAGCTCTTCGTGTGATTGTCCCTGCGAGGGCTCCTCCGCGACCCTCATCTGCCACCCGATGCTGTTAAGATGCCATGATGAAGCTCCTCCCTCCCTTCCCTCTGCCAACTTTTTATCTCTGGAAACATCTTGCCAAAGTTGAGGCTTGGAAGAGGTCACTTTTTTTTTTTTCTTTTGCCATTGCCCACACTGCAAATAGGACCCACTCGCCATCTTTTTTAGTTGCGTTGCTGGGTTCAGATCTTTGATAGATTGTGCATGCAGTCGTGACAGGAGAAGTCGGAAGATAGTCGTGGCCATTACCGAAAAAGCCTGAAGGCTGGGGTGTGTGCCAAGGGCTCAGCAAAGCGCGAAGGTTTGTTCCAGACATGCCAAGCCTTGTGCGTGTGTGTGCGTGCGTGTGCGTGCGTGCGTGTGCATGTGTGCGTGTGTGTTAGAGACTGATGGTCTGCCGGCAGACTGGGACTTAAAGTGGGATCTGGCACATGATGGTGACACCAAGCCTGGTAGGAGAGCTTTTTACCTGGAGGAGGGTGAAGGATTTAAGTGCTAAGACTAAACAATAAAAAAAAAAAAAAACACACAAAAAAAACCGGTGCATTCGACGACACTCGTCAAGCAAACAGATGACTTGAACTTCAACTGGAGGGCTATCTGTGACCGTCGGTTGTTCTGTCCAACCCTACTATCACCGATAATCCTGTTCCATTTTAGAAAACTGTAGAAGTGCCTAAAAAAATTACTCATCAACAACACTTGCATCCAGAGTGTATCACTAAAAAGTCACAGACACAACACACTGGGCTGTCGAGAGCTACAAGGACTCTTTGGGGAAAAGACATCACACTTTTTGGCGTCCCTGGAAGGAGATTTCCAGCTAAGCGCTCATTAACATCACAAGTGACTTTACTGAAAAAGAAACGTAAGAAACGACAAATCAAAAATAGCTTTGTAGAATGTTTGGTGACTTTCACAGTGTACCATTGTTTCTTACCATGGTTCTGAATAGTTTACATGAGGAACGTGAGTGAGACAAACATGTATTGTAAACTGTGTAATGTATGTAAAGTGTCTCTTATTTTGAGAGTTTATATTCATGGTTCTAGAAATGTATTCAAAGTTATTTAAGAGTTTGTGTTGTGTCTACTATCAAAGTATGTTTGAACCTCCCCCCCTCTCTAAAAAAAATCCCTCCACCTCCTGGAACAATCATTTGTTTTTGTTTTTTTAGAGCATAAAATGTTCTTCGGTCATTTTACACCAACATTTTTTTCTTTTTCTTTTTTTGTATTTTGACGACTAGCGGTGTGTTTTAACTCATTATACTAAATTTTATTTGACATTCTTCAAAATTCGGATGTAATTTCATGGTGCTTGATTAACATCGACAATCCACAATCATGCTTTTTTTTGAGTTTCATTCACTTTGAATGTCCTCACACACGTTCTGATCTGTGTGTAATATTTGTGGAAGGTGGTTTAAAAAAAAAAATTTCTATTTTGTTGTAATTTATCTTATGTTACTCTTGGTCAAAATTTTAGTCAGAAAAAGAAAACACAATGTTGTAAACTATTCTATTTTGAAATGAATGTAATTTATTGAGCTGTGCTACGTTCTGCACGGTTGGTCATTTCAAGGTCTAACCCGTAGGGGGCCGGCGAATGAGAAGTTGCGCACGTCTTGAGTGGGAGGGGTTTAAACGTCGACCCGCCCTCAGCCCTCCCCTCGATGGAAAGCTACTGGACCTTTCTTGCCTTCTCATCCATAGAAACGATCACGGTGTTGCAGTAATGAGCATAGTTATAGAGTTGCTTGTGTTGTTGGGAAAAAAAATGTTTATTGTATAGATGACATTTTACCAAAAAAAGCAAAGAAAATTTCAAAAAAGATGTACTTTTCACTCTAGTATAATAGTATTTCATAACATAACTTGTTGCAGTGGCAACCAGATGTTGCAATTACTAAAGTTGGGTATTTTTGTAAATGACATTGTTAAGTTGGTTTTTGTTTCTGTTTTTTTTTCTTTGCTAGAACACTGTACAAGGTAGATTGTAAAGAAGATATGAACATTTCTTATTCTTCTCTGAGATTATGACAATGACCTAATATTTTCATTAGTAAGTAACAGCCTCTATAGTGCTGTGACTGTAACACTTAGAGATATAAAATTCATCGATGTTACATAGATTACATATAAATATATATAAAATATATATATATATAAATATAAGAACTAAATAATCTATAAATTAATAAGATGTTCAACTTTCCCCCTGACAAAGGACCTCTAGGTTCCACACAGATACATTTTATTCGAGGCTTATGTATCACTAGTCTTTAGGATTGCACTTTCATATTGTTTATTGATCTGTTCTGTTTTTCACTTCCTTCGAGGGTAAATCTGTTCATCAGTAAATGGCAGATATTACCAGTAAATGACTTCAATTCAACACGTTGCATGAGAGAAAACAATCTTTTCTTACTAAATTATAACGTACTGAATGTTTCTAGTGAATAAAAAAAAATGTCTGTACACAAAATGTCCTTATTTGGTGCCCCCTGTGTATGGACTTTCTCTTGAAATTTTTTTTTTTTATTGTGTTGGCAATGATTGACTGATGGTAACAGCACTTTCTGAGCAGTTGGCCGACTGAGCAGACTCAACTTATCCAAACACTTTGCCTTATCTTGAGTCCATCGTACTTAAGGTTTTATGTTTTAAAGAGCTCTTATGAAATTTATTAAACAGACCTAAGTGGGTCTCTCTCTTTCTCTTCTCAAATCCCTTCAGAGTTTCATTTGAACTATGAATCTTTATATCGGAAATCATTTTTTTAAGGTTCTAACGTATGCGTCACAAGGCCAAAAGTGAGAGGAGATTGCAGCAGAGCAAACAGTCACCGATCTTTACTTCCTGTCTCCCAAATCAGTGAGTGAAATCGTTTGGGTCCCATTGCCTTACAATGGAACATGCAATTCACAGCTTTAGCCAGCAGAGGACACTATACCAGAGACTGAAGGTTAAGAAGTGTGGCTGCCTGTGTCATCATTGTTGCAGTGTACCTCACCAACAAAGTCAAGACATGAAAACCAATTGACAAGAAGACCCACGTCAGATTTCTAGTTTCAGTGTAAACATTTTTAAATGTTTTTTTTTTTTTGCATATATTTTGTGCTACTTTATGTTTCTATAGTCAAATGTTTCTTTGGTTCCAGCAAGATAGTGTAAAATCTATTGAAAGAAAGAAATAAAGAAAATTAAAGTAATGGTTTTTGCTTTGGATCTCGTTTGTGTCACACTCTCTCTTCAGTAACCCACAGAGATGTTTGCTCTAAGTAGTAACAGTACTGTAGCTCTGTCTACTGCAGTGCCGAACATCTTGCTTTACCCAGAGTTTTTATTAGAGGCCCTCTCAAGGGCCCCTGGTGGTCCCTAAAGCCCACTGCCTTAAAAGCAAATAAACATCAGCTCTCATGAAAAGAGATTATAAAGCTGCGTGCATTAAAACATCTGAGAGTTGCAGCATGAAGTTTTTGCCGGAGTTGATAAAACATAATGAGAGGACCCAAGAGCAGGACAAGTAAGCGCTTTTTCCATTATTTATTTTCTGCCATTTCCCGTTACTGCAGTGGAGTAGTGCTTTTCTGAGGGGGGAAAAGCAGCTATGAGGGGTTATTAGTACCACAATGGTAATGTGTAGTTAACGGCCGTTTGATGACAGCAGTGGACGGGCCTCTCAGCAGCTGCACTTATCATGTGTCACTAATTAGATAATAGCCTTCTTAAATTCATTACGATGAGCTGCAGTCCTCGTTGAACAAATGACATGAACACAGCCTCCCTTCTCTAGTGCTCTTGATATTTACACTACAACTAGAACAAAGTAATCACACAGGGTATAGCTAACACAAACTATAATAAATAAAAAACACAGGTTATTGCAGAAACATGGTGACAAAGATTAACTGTAAAGAAAGTAAAAAGAATCATCATAAAAATGCCCCCAAAATTTGTTTGAATTTCAGCCTCTGTCCAGATTATTTGTTCCTGTCTTGCACCACGTCTTTACACAGTTATTACACCCATTGATATCTGATGCTTGGTTGACAGTCCAGCAGCAGGTTGTTTTTTTCTTTTAGCAAATCCAAAACACAAGCTAATATACAGACATGGGCTACTATGGCTCCAGAGACTGGCAGGCCAAAGTGCTTTCCTGCAATACAAGACAAAAAAAGAGCCTCCACGCCCTGCACCACTCATATTTCCCTGGGCACACTTAACCATAAGTGGTTAAACCATTAATTCTGAGTGTATTATATCTGACACATGAGTTTTTGAGCTTTCTTAGTTTTCCAATAAAAACCTAATTTAATAACGATACATTTTAAGCAATAAATGTAAATAAAAAATGCCAGATGTACCAAGTATGAGACAAATTAAAACTTATATAAATGCAAATTAATATTTTTAATTACTTTTTTGTTAAAAGGTTCAGCAGAATCTACATTTCTTTAGAAAATTGATTTTTCTGGCATGGTTCAGAAACCTTTAAAGGATTAAATGTGTAGGGAAATTGTTTAAGTGCTCAATCACAGTGCATTATGCAGAACCTTCACATTTGTGCTTAACACTGTCCCCTTCTGGTTGATCTGGTCTTCTAAGATGCAGTTTAAATGGAAACCCTTTAAAAGACTTACTATGTGTTTATACAGTGGTTCTGCTGGAGGTTTATTCCTATTAAGAGGGAGTTTTTCTTTCCCACTGTTGCCAAGTGTCTGCTGACAGGGGGTTTTCTCTCTGTTATTCCCTTTACCTTATGATATAAAGCATCATGAGGCGAATGTTGTTGTGATTTGGTGCCATAGAAATAAAAATAAACTGAAATTGCAGAGTGGAAATTTGACATGTTCACCTTTTTAACAAATTATTTAGTTCACCTGAGGCTTCAGTTAACATCCCTCAGAAGAGCTCAGAGTCAAGCATCATATGTTGACACTGTCTTGAGACATTATGTGCTGCAAACCAAGTCCAAGCCTCTGGCTTTGTCTTGTGCCTCCCATTGGCTGCTGACAGCATTCCTCACAGATTAGCTTATATTTCCGTTTAAAACGAGGTCAAAAACAATTATGTCACAGCAGCCTCTCTTATTTCTTTTCCATCACATCTGTGCTCTGCTCCCTGTTGCCATGTGGCACTAATCTCCCTCCATATCTTCCAGGAAATAGTAGCATCCAGTGGATGAAGCACACCAGAGGCGTGGATTCCCAGCACTGTTGTCTTCTATAAGCCAAAGAGTGCTCTTCGCCTTTAACTCCACTGTACCCCACTGTGCAGGGGAAATGTAGTGTTAGCCTTTTATTTTGTCGGCACATAAAAAGATGCGCCGTCTAGTTGTTTCTAATAATAGCCGATCTTATTTTAACTGCACCGACGCCTTATTGCATTATGGATGCCTCCGGAATGGTGTCCCTTCAAGATAGCGTGGGAATATTTCAGTAGAAGGCAGTGTGGCTGTGCATCTCAGGGCTAAATGCTCCAGCATCATTCGGCCGCCTATAACTGCAAGAGCATCTCGTTTACCGGAGGCTGTGTCATGCCTGTAGCGTGAGTCTGGGCTGCTGTGCACGGGCATGCGTTTCTTTGATCCGCTGCTGATCACTTTATTCTCTGCATGCCGGATTTAACTCCGCGGGAGCGCTATGCGGGAGTATAAGGTGGTGGTGCTCGGCAGCGGCGGGGTGGGGAAGTCCGCGCTGACGGTCCAGTTTGTCACCGGGACATTTATAGAAAAGTACGACCCGACCATTGAAGATTTCTACAGGAAGGAGATCGAGGTGGACTCCTCTCCGTCGGTGCTGGAGATCCTCGACACGGCCGGCACCGAGCAGTTCGCCTCAATGAGAGACCTTTACATCAGAAACGGCCAGGGCTTCATCCTGGTCTACAGCCTGGTCAACCAGCAAAGTTTTCAGGACATCAAACCCATGAGAGATCAGATCATCAGGGTGAAAAGGTGAGAGGCTTTCCAGTTTGCTGTAATTCATTGTAATTCTAAATAAATGCTCTGATGCCACAGACAAAAGGCGAGCAGAAAAACGTCTTAGGGGCCTTAAATAGCCATATTGGGGCAATAAGGACCCCGGAAGTTGTCTGTGTCGGTGAAGGAATGTTAAGGATATGATAATAAATATTTACACCTTGATTCAAATAAATAAAACAGTCACATTTAACAGTAAACATGCTTGGAGTACCCCATGGAGCCCCTCCAGGGCCTCTATAAATGTAACGAACCCCCCACACACACGTACAAATCAGTGTTTTGTTTTGTTGTTGTTGTTTTTTTCATTTTAAACTGAGGCTGAGAAACATCACAAAACTGCCATCCTCTCCATGTCTTCCCTCCTCTTCCTCTTCCTCTCTCACCCCCACGCTCTCCTCCAGTCCTTCGTGAGAAGCTGCATCCCGCTCATATGTTCTTCATAAGAGCCCAGCTGCGGCTCACCTGTCACACATCAACCCGCTGAACTCTCCCAGGGTTTGATATTCTCTGCGTCTCTCACACATGACTAACTCTGCACGGCTTTGATCAGCTCAGTCCATTACTCAACACATCCCCTGAGCTCATCTCACAGCCTGGGAGTGAGAGAGAGTGGGAGAAAGGCTGTGGTCTATCCTTTTCGGTAGTGACACATTGGAATTTCTTTTTTTTTTGGCTCAGAGTCTTGTGTAAATGTGTGAGCCTGTGACTCCAGGGTGCAACTGGAGTGAAACGTATTTTTCTTTGTTTTATTCCCAACAAAAGCGCATCATTATGACTTCTTCAATAGAAAAACGTTTTATAGCTGTTGTTGTTTTGATGCCAGCAGCTGACAGACGAGCGATTGATGCTACTTTTCATGGATGTTCAGTGAAGATGGGGGAGTGTTAGGTGTGGTTATGTTAGGGCAACAAAAATCCCCACTAACAGTGCCCCACTTTAAATCAGCGAAGAAGACATGCAGACGGAAACCAAAGTGAGATAGGAGCTCTGACTCATGCAGTGGTCTTACATGAGCATCATCATTGGGGGAAAGGGGGGGGGGGGTGTAGGCACTTCATTATCATCAGAAAGAGAAAAGAAAAAAATCCTGTCATTACACTTAATATCGCCCCCTTTTCTGCTTGTTGAACATGAGTGTTGTGACTTTTATAATTTCACCAGTAGAGTATTGCTGCGGCGCTTTCCATCTGCCTCCCAGGAGTGAACTCGGTGCTTCTCTTGTGGTGTGGACGTCACAGGCCGAGTGGAAGCTCGAGAGCGTCACAGCTGACGATGCACAGTGATGGCGAATGCGTGGGGGTGGGGCGGGGGGACTCCTTTATATTAATTTAATAGTAATGATGGATAAAAAAGTGCCCCAGCACCCAAAGCGGCTGCCCACACTGCAGCAGCCATCGCCGTCCTCAAGTGTATACCTATAAATATTTCATGCTTGTATTTCACACTGCTCTGGCTTTGAAGTGGGCCTTGTTACTGTATGTGCAAAGCCGCAGATAAGTAGAACACCCTTAAGTAGACTTGAAAACATAATATTGTTGTTGAGTTTTGTGCAGAGACATTATTACACAAAAATTAAGTGTTTGCATGTTCTCCCTGTGCCTCGGTGTACCTGGCTTCCTCTCACACTCTTAATGACATGCATGATTGTAAATAGCTGCTTAAAATTGGTCTTAGGTGTGGATGCTGTGTGAACTTGAGTGGTCAGTGAGGCTAGAAACGGTGGTCAGTCACAGTCTGTGACAAAAGTAGAAGTACTAGCAAGATCTACTCGGTTATTTACTTGATCTCGTTAAGGTGTCCGTCACAATCGGCTCCTGCTCTCCATTAGCTGTCTTTAGAAAAACAGCCTCCCTCCTCCCAAACTTGTTGCTGAGCCAGCAGCAGTAACAACGAGCCTCACACAGAGATATAGTATGTGCCCGTTCACCAGAACTTAATGGGATTGTGTTGGGTTGAAAGCCAAGAAGACATCGGCCCTCCATTAGGCAGTCATATAAACCAGAATGCTTATGCAAGGCTTTCCATGTGCCAAGCATGGACAAGAAGTGAGATATGCTGTTTGGTTAAGGAGGCGTGAATCCATAGTCTCATAGTCCACTCGTTGTATGACAGATCAGCTACCCAACCTAAAGAAAACCCGAATGTCATAGTTAACAGTTTACTAAAATTAATGGACAACACAGGGTAACCATTAAAAAATATCTCACTAAACTAAAAAGTGGCTAATAGCTAAAATTGTGAGCTAATATTATGACCTCTGTTGCAGAATTTCTTGCCAAAATTCTGCTTAAGCAGCTAAAACTGTTAGCCTAATATTCTGAAATAGTTAGCTAAAAGTATAATCAAAAAAACTTGTAAATTCTGTTAAGTGAAACGTGATTAGCTAAAAGTGTGGCTAGCTAGAGGTTGAAATACTAACATTTAGAATATAGTACTACGCAAAAGTCTTAAGCCACCCCTCATTTCTCTATATTTTGGTAGAAAATGGGAAATAGGTGCAGCGATTTATTGAAACGTGCTAATATACATGGAAGTATAGTATATTAGGCAAAAACCGAGTCTCTACAGTTCTTCAGGAATAGTTCTCCAGGCTTCTTGAAGGACATTCAAAGCTCTTTCTTTGGAAGTTGGCTGCATTTTGCTCTATTCTTTTCTGTGTTCAGACAATATCTCTAACACCACTGGCTGAGTGCAGAGCAAACCATGACAAAGCCCCCTGTGTTTTACAAATAGCTGTACACGCTCAATTTTGTATCTCTCTCTTGATATTCACTGTATATGTTGACACTGATTTGAATGCAAACTTTTCGAGTTTTCAAACTGCCACTGATTTTCATTCCAGTTCTTGTGTAATTTGGATTAGGTTAATTGGTAACTCTAAATTGTCCATAGTTGTGAATGTGAGTGCGAATGGTTGTCTGTCTCTATGTGTTCGACCTGGGACAGACTGGTGACCCATCCAGGGTGTACCCTGCCTCTCGCCCTAAGACAGCTGGGATAGGCTCCAGCCCCCCACGACCCTGACAAGAATAAGCGGAAAAGGATAAATCAGCATTTTCTCCACGTTTCCCCTCCGTAAGAATGGCTTCTAGACATACATCCTCCCACCGAAACCATTTCTGATCAGGCGTCAGTGGAGATTTTTTTTTAGGCTGCTACTTCTTTTGTTCTCCACTTGTCCAGTTTCTTCACAATTTTTAAGGGCACACTGAACACCATACTGAAATATGCCAACCATTTTCAGTTAATAGCTCTTTGGGAATCACCTTATTGGTATAAAAATGTTATTTTCTGTCTTTCCACCTGTGTTATCTTTAGCATTTTTTGTAAATTCCACTAAAGAAATAAAGAAAAATTAGGTGCCTTTTTAATGCATGAATGATTCATAGGTCAATGTGAAGTGGCTTAACAAAAGCAGTCAGGTACACGGATGGACTGAAAACTAGTGAAAAAGCTACCATAGCTCAAAGAAAATATAGAAAATATAGAAAGACTGGAGAAATATTGCTTCTTTTAAAATATTATAAGAATGTCAAAAGTATTCAAATAAGAGGGATGGCTTAACAGTCGAAACTGTTAGCTTAACACATCAAAATAGCTAGCTGAAATCATGAGCTAGAAGTTCAAATTATATCTTAAAGTGTGAATTACACTTTTAAAGCTTTGCTAAAAGTATACAGTCTAAATAGTTTGTTTGTTAAACACAATGCAGAAAGTGGTCACTAAACATGATGAAAATAAGTGTAAGGTTAGCTAAAAGCGGTGAACAGAAATGCTAATAGTTAGGGGTAAACAGCTAATTTAGTTTTTGAACCACACTATAAATGATAAAATCTGTTTAAATGTGTTCAGATGAGCACATTTGAAGTTGACATGTGGTCACCATCTGACACGACTTTGGCGCCACATATACATCAACATTACAGTGTTGACTTAAAGAAGAGGTGAAGAGAAGCAGGAAATACATTAAATGCAAAGACACTTGATGTGTAGCAGCTTTTCTTCACATATGTGAACAATTTTCTGTTTGTATTTAGGTTAACAAACACCACGGCAGATAAGCTTTACCCCCCTGAACGCTCCAGCACGGTCTTAGTCTAACCACATAAACCCCCGTTTAAGTCGCTATCTGTGATAACAACATCTGGGCGTAGCCCTCCTCGCAATCGAATGATCTCCTCGCTTGCATGTTAAGGTTTATAGTTTAATCGGCACAGGAGGAGGAAGCACGTTCAAAGTGTTGGAGCTGCGTTTTCACGCTGCACTGATGCTGTGTCTAATAGCAGGAGGTGAGCAGCACGCACCACTGAGTGGGAATAGGGTGGAGAGACCAAAACTACGTATCCCAGGGGGCACTTTGGTGTAGGTACAAAGCCACTTTTTTTCCTTAGGCTTTTAGCATCGCCCATAAGTGAGGAGAGAAATGTTTAAGTAGCCAGCTCTCTGAGGATAGCCACCAGTAAAGTGCTTGGACTTATAAACTTAACATATTTGCTGCACTATGCTTGCTTAAGTGTTTCCATCATGTGCCACCATTTATCTCATTCAGGGGATCTGAAAACACATGGTTCTACCTTGATCCAGTCCAGTTTAATATGAATTACAATGGTCATTCCCAGCCTTTAAAGTGAAGCCCAGTTTGCCCAGAGGTGAGTGTAGTACAATAAAAAAAAGCAAACATCATCAGGAAAGTCTAAAGTGAACACCATTTGTGCAGCAAATTACAATTCCTTGCTTGTGAATCATCTCGCATTCATTCCGGTTTATCTTTTAATCCCTCAGGGTTACAAAAGATTCTTTGCCTTGATGTGTATCTGGACCTTCCTATATTTAGATGAATATCACTTGAGCCACAGCTATGAACCCAGTAAACAGTGATGTCATTCTACTTCCTAAGGGAATGTTTACAGAGTGAAAAAAACAAAGTCTGCAAGGCATATGCATTTCAGTGTCACTGAAGGAAAACATCATGT